AAAAGATTGTAAGGGGGAAATGTCTAGTGCTTGGAGCTATTAAAATGACAGCCGAGGAGGGACGCACAATGGCCCGGAGCCTGTGCAATTTCAGGGAGAAAAACGATAGCGTAAAATCAACACCCGCGTCTTGACATTTCCAGCTACTTTGGTGTGTATCTGTCTGCAGCGAGGTTTTTCCTCAGCAGTATCCCTCCCCCACATTTTGCTTATCACAGCCTTCCATCAGGCCATGTTCCCCTGATCAAAATGCCACCAGTCTTAAGCTTAATCCGACGGCACACCTTGTCTTCCCTCCCAGTGGCATGCTAGTTTACATGACCTACATGTACATGTGTCGAAGCATGTTTGAAATAAAAAAATTGGAAAACTGAATATCTGAATTTTGTTGCATCTGATTGTTTTCGTATATTTGGAGGTTGTAATTACAGAATCCATATAAGCTCACTGGAGTCTCCAAATTAATACCAAAGTCTGTGTCACTTGTACAGAAGAAAGGGCTTGCAAACTGTACCTGAAGTGAAGAACCTTGCTAGCTCTGAACAGAATTGCATGCCGTGAAATATGTCATGGCATGAAACTTCATGAAAAGAAAACAAGCGCACACCATTGCCTATGAACAAGGGACACGGGTATGGGGGGGGGGGGGGCTTGACTACAGATTTAAATGAGTATTCCCATCTCGCTATTTCCAGTGTTGATCTCTTTTATCAAATATTCTCAGATAAAGTACACACTGTAGAGGCTTGTACAACAGTACATGTTCATTTACATGACCTGTGCATATGTATGTTCTTCCACAGGCTATATTGTAGTTGTAAAACAAAATCACCAAATATTTCGGACTCAAATCTTTATTCACTACATTGTCCCCCCCCCCCCTTCTGGTTAAAAACAATTTTTGTCAGTTCTTCCAAGTCCCACGCTAACAAGGCTCAATAACAATCCCTGTACCCACCTAGTCCTTTGATAGTCATAAACATGATTGCCGCGTTTCCATTAAATATGATTTATAGCTTTCTGCTGTGTGTCTTAGTCTCCTAATGCCAGACACATTTAATGGTCTTGAGTTGCTACCATAGATGAATGCAACAGCTGCCTCAAATTGCCTCTGACTTACTATCAACAGTCAGATGTGCCTATATACATGTATACAGCTGTACAGTAAATTTAGATGTAGGGTGTACTGGTACTACCTACATGTACATGAGCATTGTATCAACATGTACATGTACATGTACACACATACACATGTCATGTTTTATAAACGCACATCCACTCCGTGAGCACAGATGTTCTCTCATTAATGGAATTGAACATTGAAATTTACTCAATTTATCATATTCATAGCAAAGGCAACAGAAGTGGAGATAAAGCATATTTTTACATTTCCAGTGTGTATGTATACACACATGTATACATGATCTGATACACCGTGCCCTCTGGAGACATGCACACAATAAGGAACAAAAGATTGTATACGTCTCCACAGGGCAATTTCTGTAGATGAAAATGTCTATACAAGGTTTTCACGAAATAGATATATGGATTTTACTCAAAAACTAGGAATTTCCAAGGTGGGTTGATTTGTCGCAAATGGAAGAGTTTCAGAAAAGGGATATTAAATCCGAATTTCAGCCAAGGAAATTAATTCTGGTTAAAATAAGAGCATTTTGAAACTGTTCTTTCAAACTCTAGTACACGAGAACAAAGAAATGTCTCCACAAGGATACAAATTGCAGTATTCGTGAATACATGTATGTATTGTGGACATCCTACTGCCCTAAACTCCAAGGTATTTCATCATACTCTACCCCTTTAAATGGCAGCCCAGATGTATGATGTACGGCGTGACCCATGGATATTTGGCTAGGAATCACACTTACAAGAACAAAATGTCATGTGCTCATTAAGGCCATGATGAAATGCCAGCTATGAGCCCATGTGTCAGGCTTGGGCACTAATTCATGAATTGCGTCCTCCTATCTGTCATCGCTGGTGCTGATGATGTCCCAACGTGCTAGTTAGGCTATATTGTGCTATCTGCGTATCTCAGGCATTTGTCATTTTCTAAATGCGTGCTTGTACAGTCAACTAAAGGACAATTTTGAAATGGGTATGAGCAATAGTGTGAGGTTGTGCATTAGACCATGGAGGTACCGGTAGAATTAGATGGACTAACGGTACGTGCTGAGCAGTAGGTGTTGCTTTTTGCATGCTTTCAAGATCTCCCTTGGAAGGTTACACCACATGGGTGCACTTAAGACTATTTATAGACCTTTATCATGCTGCCGCCATTTCAGTAATGTTTCCTGTATCCAATAACAGTACTGAATAATAATGTTTTTTGTACACAAAGGAACCAGACTATTTTTCCTTCCAGCCTCGCTATGGTTACGTTGATTTGAATGGGAAAAAAATCAAGATGGCCGCACAGGCTGTGAAGAACCGGTATGCACGAATAACATGTGCAGATATCTGTAGTGTCGTCTTTGCACAAGCGGTAGGCGTACGGGCCAATGCATACAAGTGTCTCTCCTATTGTGATGTCAGTGGTCCCTCCCGACTCTCTCTTTCCAACCGTTGAGGGGTACTTGTGCACTGAGTCCATTGATGGTACAGGATTCTGCAGGATAATGAAGTCTCCAGTAATGGATATTTTTTTCAGTTGGGGGAGGGGCTTTTTTTGACACCCCCCCCCCACCTTCCCCTGGCCGGAATAAGCTACTGTACTTCTCCCTTAAAATATGACCATTTGTGACAGTAATATCCAATTGTGGACATTAGCATAATAAATCCTCTATAAGCAAGCTTTTAGCTTAAATGACTCCTTCAGATGAAAAGTAAGTAATTGCTCTCTCATTTTGTCCTCCAAATGAGGTACTGGTATACAATGTATCTACCAGTACGGTACATGTACATGTACATGATGTACATGTACTGCTTACAAGTTACAGATACATACATGTACAATGTGCATACGGGTGCACATACCTGTATTCATACTGTAGTTCAGTAGTTGGCTATTAAGTTATGTTGCCACTGTCATTTCTACAGCTGGCAAAGATGATATAGTCTGAAATATTCTCTTTACAACCTAAAAACATGATATACATGTATATCTAAATATTGTGGTAATGTTCCATAAATATTATTGTTGAGATGTCGGGACCCCATAAGTATTGCCAACCGTGGGGGCGAAGGGTACATGTAGTAGTACGTTGTCCTGTCCACGTGCATCGTACATACAGGCGTGTTTTTTGAAGATTCTGCAAATCATGAATCATGTGTATACATCATTCAAACGTAATTGCCCAATTCCGACCAGAACACGAACATGTACTTTGCACAAGCAAAGAGCACATCTATCACAGCTGCGAATGTTTGTTGATTCTGAAATGACATTCACTTTTTAAAGTACAGTCAGATTCAGCGTTTGCAACTTCACTGGTAAAATATTTAAAAAAAATAATTGGTACATATGAAGAATTTAATACAAAAAACGTACTATATCTATCTGAAAAAAAAGTTGAAAATTTGCACAATTATGAAACTTTAAAGTATAAAAACAGTAGGCATGTAACAGCTATTTTTAAACTTTAATTTTCGCTTCATTTTATTCTCAAATTGTGTTTAATTACATAACAGCCATCGAAACTGGCTTTGGACAGCCAGGAGAGGGCGGGATTCCAAAAGTTTATCGCATTTTGGAAATGTTCATGAAGATCAGTTCATTTGTATATATATGAACTTGATACGTATTAATACTTCAAGTTGATGAATGTGTATTTGTTCAGTATGGGATTCATTTAAAATGCACATTTCCAGAATTTGTTTTCTTTATTAGCCAATTTCAACAGCCCACCAAAAGACATCATTAGGCAAGAATTTCCAAATTCACTGTCAGTTTGTGATGATGAATTTCCACAAAAACGTTATTCTGAACATAACTACTCATCTGCTGTGGAAGTAAATGTCCATTAATAATCGTGTGTAGCTGTACTTTAAGTTCGTTATTAAAGACTGTTGTTTATAAGCTACATGTAACTGATTGGGAGTTATAGGCGTATTAGAAAAATAGACTTAGCCTAATGAGAGTGGTGATGTGATGTGATTGTCCACGTTCAAACATCCTAGAATGAATGATGATCCAGATTCATCATGTTTTGCAGCATCATCTGTCGTCATGGGTAACAAATGATTAAGAGTGCATGAAGTAATGGTCAATTAATCACAGATTGGAGATGGCCTGAAGCGCATGTTTTGTATAAGCAATCTGCCCAATGCAGCCCAAAGAAATTCTATGGAAATGGAATGTAATTGGGAAAGATGTAATTCTGTAACATCTGTGATGATTCCACTATCAATGCTCGAGTTCATTTTTGAACAGGAATTTAGGGAAAAATTTGATTAGTCTTGCATTGTCGTGCTTGATTGGAGAGACTCAGTTGAGGCCATTATTTATACTCTGTGTCTAACTTGTCGGTCGGTCTGTCAGTCTGTCTGTCAGTCTGTCTGTCAGTCAGTCAGCGACTCCGGCTGTCACAGGACAATAGGCTGGCCAGCAAAAACTCAAAATTAAATCTTCAAACTCAACCGTGTTTAATTCATTCCAAGCTTTCAACTACATGTTCCGAAAAAAATTGTTTGGTATGATACTTATTAATTAAGCTGTTTTTACAATATTTTATTTTAGGGTTGACCAAGTTTGTTCAAATATTACTTAGGCTGTATCCAAATCACTTGGCTATGACCAGCAATAACGCAAGAGTCTATGGAAAGTGGCTACAGCCGCTAGCCAGTGGCTTCCATAGGTGCGTGTGTTATACACAGCCGTAACCAAGGGATTGGGACACAGCCTTACACAGGAGCTACATGTATGTATGAACAGTAAGACATTGATTGAGAAACCAACATTGGCTATACCGGTACCTCTACATGAGACATTTCATATTTCACAAAGCTATAATCCCATTCCTTTCTCTCGCTTTCTCTTGAAGGTCCAAACTGTGAGGTAGACTTTGACGAAGGCCGCTGCACGGACAACCTGTGTAAGAACGGTGGCCTGTGTAGGAACTTCTTACTAGGAGGCTTTGAGTGTGTCTGCCTGGGGCCGGAATATGATGGGCCTCTGTGTGAGATTCGGACCAGAAACTTCCCTGACAACTCCTTCTTGATGTTCCGGTCGTTAAATAGGAGAGTCCGGTTCCAGATGTCATTAAGGTAAGATGAAATGCACTTCTGGCAAAAATGTAGGAATGTAGTAAAATGGTTCCTGAGTGAAATTTCTATTTGACACCCAAAAAACGATACTTTTTTTTCTAGCTAAGGTTTTCAAAAGGGAATTTGGGGTATGTTTTAGTAACTTTTAACAAACTGTCAGTCCATGGTTCCGCCAAGAACAGATGAAAGGAAGCTGACTGGGTTCATTTTTGGTCCAAATTGGTTGATCAAAGAATTGATTGGATGCTCCAGTCACTTTTCTTGTTTAACATGATGTTGCTGTCATCTGGATTTTTGCGCAAACCCTGACCTCATGGTAAGGTACATATGAGTGTATGGCTCCTGAAAGAATTCCATGGACAAAGTCATTATTGTCAAATAGGGGAGAGGGGTCACTCCGTGTCAAATCACCAAAAACATTTGGAAGTTCAAATCGCACCCCCTTCAAGTTGGTTCTTATTTAGTGTATGGGGTAATTTAGGCTGAAAAAGCTGAAACTTTAAGTTTTGGCGCCATCAGACCTACTGTTTTCGCGCTACTCACTGCCATTTTTTGCAATTTTTGCCAAAATGGGTGTGGCTGCCAAGTTTCAAATGACCATAACTCCATAACTTGTTTGCAAAATTTGTTGATCTTGGTTTCTCTGGAAAGGTATTAAAACATGCTAAGGAATGGAATCTAAATTTACCATTATTTGTCATGCCGGAGCAATTAGAACTATGATGACCTTTACACCTTTAGTTTGACCTTAAATTTGACCTAGTCAATCACCAGACCTTGAGACGAACGTGGATGAAAATTATATCCCGGCCAACATGTTTTCTAGATATATATTCAAAATTTGGGGTTATAAGATTTTTTTATTTGCTTTCTAGGTCATCTCAAAGTTGGCATACCTGTTGCAAAAATGTGATGATATTCCTATTCCGATTTGACACGGAATGACACAGAGTGCCAGTATAGGACTAGATATTGTAGCCCAATTGGTAGAGAACCAATACAATGTTGCAACTGTCACAGGTTCGAATCCTGCACCAGTCAATTTCATTGTTAAGCCATCTATTGATTTAAAGTGATCTGGTCAGCGTCGTTTAATAATTAGCTCAATTTCCTGTGTTTGTGCCTTCAGTTTTGCCACCAAGGTGGACAACGGCCTCCTGTTCTACAACGGTCGCTATAATCAGAAGCACGATTTCATCGCGCTGGAGATTGTCAATAGGCAGGTTCGATTCCTGTTCTCAGCGGGCGAGGTGACCAGTGTAGTGACCGCATCTATCCTTGGTGGCGTTAGCAATGGGGAATGGCATAAGGTGTCGGTGGATTATCTGGAACAGGTGAGTTGGTCTGTTTGTTTGTCTTCATGTCATGGTAGTCTTGTCTTTGTCTGACTATTGTCTATTTGTGACCAGCTGTGTCAAAAAAATGAGTCTCCAGAGCTGGTTTGAAAGTCATGACCATGGAGTGTGATGGCCTAGCGGTTAAGAACACCGGACTCACGTTCTGGTGTTTCAGAGGCAACAGTGACGTGGGTTCGAGCCCGCCGGGGGACACTTGTGCTCTTAAGCAAGGCACTTAACCATTATTGCTTCGTCCTTCGGATGGGACGTTAAGTCTTAGGTCCCATGTGTTGTATAAATGCACGTAAAAGAACCCAGTAAACACTTATCGCTAAGAGAAGGGGTTTGCCCCTGTGTTTCTGGCCTCCCGGATAAACTCCCACGTGGAGTATTTAGGAGAAGAACCAACCAAGAACCATTCAGGTTCCTTTCTTCTCACTAGAGAAGCTCATTTCTGTTCACATTTGATTAATCTCTATTGAATGACACATTCAAGCGTTCCATATTTTTTATTTGTTGATATGAAAATTCTTTTCAGTTTCACATTTGCATGAGTTACACGTAAGAAGAGGGTATGAACAGTGGTGTACTTGTTTGGAAAGAAACGTACAGATCATGCTACATCACTCCACAGTCCATTTTCTTCATCCGAATACTATAAACAAATTACACATGGCGAGGCTGGGCTTAGAAAAATAATCAGAAGTAACTAATGTAAATGCATCACACGGTTTGCACATAAAAGAACAAGCAAGTTGTAGTCCTGTAGCATGTTAAAATAAGCCTACAGACTTTCCATATTCAAATTGGATAGTGACAAACTGTCATCTGAACTTCATGAGCAGCAAACACTCATTTGTTTGTTTTTATCTGGCACGGTCGGATAATCTTTATAAACCAAACACGTATCATGTGAACAGACCGTGGAGCTTGCCATAAAGTGCACTGATCTAAGGGTTTGAAGTCAATCCAATATTAGAAATAGAAAGACAACAAAAGCCCCTGGCTTTGTTTTTGTCTTCAGCCCAAGATCCCCAAGAATCTGTGTGACAGGATTTGGTGTTTCTGTTGGAAAAATATGGACCAAAATTGTACTGGAGTCTGTACATTACTTAAGGGGACTGAAAATCATGGGTCTTGCACCCGAGACAAAACCGAGAAATTCAAAAACGAGAAATTCATACATGGCAGACACTTCTAATACATGAAGGGTTTACATGTATTTCCAAAACGCAATATACGCCTTTTTGTTACTTTCTATGGAGAACCGAAGTGTGATGTCATTTAGAACCAGAAAGTGTAGTGCAAACGAGTGAAGTACGCGCGCGTGTTGGTTCACGGACTGAATCACGCACTAATGTCTTTTTACACACATATTGTGCGCATGATGTATTCACTTCAGTACTCCATAGAATCCTGCTCTCTCCTAACTGCACTAAGTTAGTTTCTACGACTGTTATACAGTTAAATACAATTTCAGTGTGCAAAAAAGGGAAAAGGGAAATTTAGAAACAGCTGTTATACTTTTTTGGCCTTTGAAGTTTCATAACCGTGCAAATTCTTCACTTTATTCAAATGGAGATATCGCGTTTTGAAAATAAACACTTCATGTGTATAATGCCATTACCACCTTGCTTTGCACCCACATGAAGATGCAACAAGGTTGCCACAGTGAACATTTGTTGTATGTATTTTGCACCGTACAGTTCATGTGCATGTACACGTACCGGTACGTGGATGTGTGCAAACCAGTACGTTTCATTGGCCACACAGCGCAATCTACATGTAATATTCTGTAAAGCCGCCCTCAGGTCGACCTGCGATTTGCTTGCGTCGCGAGGTAGCCATCGCCATCAAACACAAAAGTCATGCTCAGGTCACAAAACTGAGAAATCGTGTGATTATCGTTGAACAAGTGGCATCTCACTTAATTTTGAAAGCCCACCGAAAGATATACTAGGCAAGAATTTCCCGACTTCACAATGTTTAACATGTACATTTGTAATGTATGCTCATGTCACCCATGACGACGACTCACAATAAAATAAGATGATCTGGATGCGTGCATGACGTTGTAAGTTCACACAGGTCGAGTGCGATTGATTCCCGCCTATCGTGAACAAGTTCCGTCGCGGTGCAAAAGTTGAAATTTGTCTACTCTTGCGACTGTCGATTTCGTTAGCGCCGACTGATGCCGATTGTCTTAATATCATCGCAGTTGCACTCAGGTCGCAAATAAATTGGTGACTGATATGTTCCCGATAGTCGTAGATCAGACACAGCTTGATCGTGAAAAGTCAGTGCTGACTATTCAGTGTCGTCGCAAGGTCAATTTGGGGCAGCTTAAAGTGTTTTATGCATATTTTATGTACTTTTATGCATACTTATATGCTCCAGATCAAACACACTTTATGCGCACATCTACATTACTCCAGATGCCAGTTACAATATATCCCAACTACATGTAGGGGACCAAAAGTGTTAACAGCTTGTGCATGAATTTGATATCTCAAGAGTGAACGACATACATGAAAGGATTTCACACCGCTGACACTCAACACCATTATGGCCATCTGTGCTCGCTTGATCCAAATTAAAAAGCCACTCCAACACTCTCTGTGCACATAGTGACAACACTTGATTAAAATTAAATCATTTGTTGACTCAGTTTTCTTGCTATAGTAGGTGTTCTATTTGTTGCTATTTTGTAGTTTTAATCAATGAATCTCTATTTTTTTGGGGGGTGTATAGGTGTAAATGAGTACGTTCTTCAGGTATTTTTAATAAATTTAAGATTTAAAAAACCCTTCAAATTCTATAAAGATGTCAGATTGGGTCAAAACTGTTTTTTTTCCAAAGGTACATTTGTACATAAAAAGAATCAGTCCAGCATATATTTATTCATGAACTGATTCTAAAAGAACAATGAAACATGGATCTTTTTTTCTTCAAAAAATGCTAGCAGAATTAATGTCATGCGCATACTTATATAATAAGCAATATTGAAATTGAAACAAAAATGAAGTTATTAACGGGAGTAGAATAACAGATACATGCAGTATACCCACTGTCATTCCTTCACATGTGGTTTCACTACATCACCACCCCAATCACTTTTCTCCTACAAATGCCCAACCCGGTGGAAACCATTTACAAACCCACATTGCACATAACTGTCTCCGCAATTGCCCCATGCCTAAATTTATCAAATCTTGGAACATATCCTCATGCCATTACACAGTATGTGTATACATGCAGCCCACAGCATTCATTATATGCCCTGAGTCAATAATATTGCATGAAACAGAGTAGAATGTTGCCTGTTTGCACAGCACTCTGGAGCCGCTGATCAAACTAGCCAAAGTAAAGGTCAGATTCCAGGCAGGCCTAGTTGAAAAGGCGCCCCAGCTTTGTATGTTGATTCTCTGAATTATCTGGCCTGTGCATCAGGCAGTCAAAATATTCCTCTTTGACAAGAAACGGCGGCGCAGGTTTTGGGAATATCTTGAATCGTTCACCTTTTCAAAAGCCTCCACTCATTTCCAGCAAAGTTGGAACTTGATGAACGTTGTAGTTTGTCCACTCTCAAATACTTCAGAAGATCATGTGTGTTCCTTGATGGAAATTACATTACTTTTTGCCCGAATTTGGCAGACTTAAAGTTCCATGTATACATGTACCGTAGTTGTACGTGTTCTACATAACCACTGAGGACCGACACACAAAGGGAGAACAACAGATCCTTTCAGTCCTCGGGCATTGGGTCTTTTGTTGGAAACGGTCCTCTGTAGTAAGTTTGTGTGCTTAGTCTATGGGAGAGTGTTATATGACAGGGACAAAGGGAAACACAAAGCACTGTCCTCGAGAGTATAGTAAAACACTACTGTGTGTACAAGTCTGTTGAGGTAATATAATTAAAGTCTCTTTTATCAAAGTTGATACATTTGAGAATATTTGGTATCTGCAATACAATACCTCTTACTTTTGCTGTGAAAATACTGAATTGTAATCAAAAAATGATCTGCATCTTGTGCAGCTAAACATTACTGAGAAGCTGTCTTTGTTGACAACAAATTGTATGCGCTGGGCTTCATTATGATGGCTGCATATTTCTGAGATCACTGTATCAACTTTCATGCATGTATGAGCTGTTTTCGGTGGCCAGACAGAAAGTCAACAAACCACAGCACCCAGCACCAAGGCATCACATCACCAGGGGATCACCAATGTGTGATATCTGATACCCAAATTGAGGGATTAACCATAAGTTCTTTCAAAGAAAGTAGCACCAAAAAACGCAAGAATGATAGCAGGACACCTATCCTGCGGATTAAACCACGAATGCTCCATGCCTATTGCTGACGGCTCTGCAAGCCACCAAAACGTGACTTTATCCATTTCTCATTTACTAAAATATGTTTAACGCTAAGGGCTGTGTTGATATAATACCGCTTATTCTTAATGCACAGTGCTCATTTTTTTCCCCTACCGATATGGAAACATGCATTGAGTAAAAGTTTGGTGACCATTTCAACGTGAGCAAATGTGACAATGATGTATCGCCGGCGAAGGGACCCAAACCCAGCAGGACGCGCTGGTGACAAAGAGAAATGCTGCTGATTTGTAGCTGATATTGTTCCCTCGGTGTGTGAGGGGATCAGTCAATTTCATGGCCAGAAGGAAGAAAAAAATGTCTTCACAGACTAACAATGGAATCCGTTGGAGGATACTGTTGGCAGACCGTGAATAATCCTTCTCCATCAATAGGTAACCAGGAACGGCTAGGCTGTGATTTCTATGGTCGAAAATCGACAAAATATTATGAAAAATTGGGAATTGTATGGGGAAAGTATAGAATTGGAGAAGATGTATTACATGCCTGGAAACGTCTCAGTGAGAAGTTCTGTTTGAACTTTTCTTTGAAATGGCAGATTCAGACTTGTATGAAAAGTTGCTGGAATAAATCCTGAGTATACCTGTACTTGACAAGTCGGGCG